GTGTGTGTGTGTGTGTGTGTGTTGAATGTGTCGGTATGGTAGGTTTGTGAATGTGTGCGAGCACTATGCATCTGTGTGTGTCTGAGTGAGGGCCACTCTGGGAGAGCTGTTAGCAGTTGGCAGGCGCACTTCTAGTACCATCCGGTCTGGCACACTGCAGGTCCAGACGTGTGTGTTCTTGTTCGTGTGTGTGTGTGTGTGTGTGTGTGTGTGCATGCATGTGTGTTTGCTCTGACCAGTAGGCCCACTCATTAACACATTTGGCAGTGGCAAGGATAACCCCGCTCTGTGCTTTTCCTCTCCTTTTTTTTTTCCCATCTCTTTTCCTCTTCTCCTTCTGTCTTGCTGACACCAAGCCACAACCATGAGAGACTCATTCTTTAGTCACTGAGCGAAGTAGCGATTTGGGCCGCATGGTATATCGCTTCAGCATCGAACTGTCGTGATGTCGTGGAAATTTGCTATATCGTTAAACTCAGAAGGCACAAAACACTTTGCTGAGTTGATTTAATATTGCATACAATACGGAGAATAGGAGAGTTTCTTTCTCGAAGAAGTACAAATGTGATAGCTTTTAAAGTGAACAAACAGAAATGTCTTCATATTATACTTTGATGTAAATGTAATTCTGTTATCAGTCTGCATACCATATAAGAACCACTGAGCCTTCTCTCCAAAACCCCTTTGGGGATGTAAACATATCTTCTCTGGTTGGCCTCAAGGTTTAACCTTTTGACCCTTTGGCAGTTCTTCAACAGTTGAGCTGCTGGAAAGTTATTCTACTAACAGAAAATAGTTCCAAAGCAACAAAGACGCACGAAATGAGCGTATAGATAACAAATGATCATCTAAGAGCTTGTGATTGTTTTTACTTTCACCGTGATGGTCGTACACTTCATGATACAACTTTCTTTGTTGCTTAATACAACACTTGCGCACTTTTCATTTTCCGTCTTCATTTGCCTGATAAAACACAATTTACGCAGATTTAAGATTTGAGTTCTTTTTTAACTTCATCTACAAGACACAGGCTCCACATGTGAACAGCAAAATGAGCGAGGAACAGAAGAGAAACAGAAAAGAAAGATTTGGTTGCAAATAAGAAGCTCAGTGTCAACTGTAGGGCTCCACAATCAGTGTCCTCCTACCATTGAATAGTTTTGATAGACTGCAGTATTGACGCTTAAAATGCAGCCTACGCTCATAGAAGACTTTACTTATAGAAAACAGCCCGTGCAGATAAAATCATTTCGCTTCAGTGGAGGTAAATCTGACATCAGAACTCCTGATTCACAAGTAATTTTTGGTCACACATCTGATACAAACTAGAGGTTTCTCTGTGCTCAGCCAGCTTTTCCCACAGTTTGCCTGTTCAGCCAACAACTACATAAACTGTAGTGTCACTCAGTGAGCAGATGTTTAGCAAGTGAGGAGTTTTGTGTACAATTTTTAAAATATTTATATTTTTGCTCAAGGAGATGCACTATGTTCAGTTGAAATAAATGTTATTGTCAGTCGTTTTTTAATGCAACGACATTAGCAGGAGTGTAGCTCAGTATGAAATATAAAGCAGGTCTTTGGTTAATTAGATGGGAATGTGCAATAAAAAATAGTTATTCTGATAAATAAGTTTATTTCAGTGTTGTTTGAAAAATTCACGATCATCATTTTGGCCATAATCGTGCAGCCCCAGTCAGTTGTGTGGTAATATCTCTGCTACAGAAAGGATGATGATGTTGACCACAAACAGAAACTCTGTCTCAATCATGCAGTTGTTTCTACAGCATGAGGCAGCAGAGCTAATTTGTTTGACCATTTGAATCAGTGCCGCAAAACTCTATATGATGAGTGCAAAGCCAGATCAGAATGCCTTCCAATGCAAAAAAAAAATCATTTTAGATGCCTGAACCAGTGTTGCACCACATGACAGGGGCTCCATACAATTCACAGTGAAGTGTTAAGTGTAGAGTTTCTCTTTTTCCATTTTTAGTGCAAATACATTTCCCTCTAAAAGGACATACGTTGTTTGGAATAATTATTTCTTTGCAGAGTTATTTAAGTAATCTGTTGAAGATTCCTGTGTTTTTTTCATATTGCAAAATATATATATATCGCAAAAACACAAATATCACAGTGTCAGTGTTTCACAGTATCGTGCAGGCCTGATGATGGGCAAAGTTGCTTTTCTTTCCTCTGCCGTCCTTGCTTTAGACTCAGCAGGACCGGCTTCAGTTTATATACATCTAAAAGATTTTCTTGCAAGATAGATGTTAAAACAAAAGAAGAAAAAACGAAATGCTGCCGAAAAAAAAACCCATTTCTTCCCATGATTTAAAGGAATGGTGTCACATTTGGGAAACGCGCTTAATATTTTTCTTGCTGATCGTTAGATGAGAAGATTGATACCACTCGCGATATGGAGGATGAAACGGTCTCCTCTGCTGCGGGCCCACATCATGGTTTAGGGCAGGGAAACAGAATCTTTCAAGGAGTTGTCGGCTTCATGGGGAGGGTATTATATCCTTTTATCCTCCGTTTCTCTCCCTCTTCCTCCTCATTTTGCCTCCCTCGCTCTCCTTCACTTATCTGTTTTGTCCTCTGTCACCTTCAGTGCCCCCCCCGCCCCTCCCTGTGTGTTTCTCTCTCTTTATCTGTTTTTCTTTCCCCTCATCTCCTCAAGGTCACGGTCCTCAGACTTTCACTGAGACAAATTCTCGGGGGGTGGGGGGGGGCAGCTATCACACACACACACACACACACACACACAAACACACACTAATGCACACAACCTCTGGGGCGAAGCTCTGAGAGAGATAGCAAAGAGAACGAAAGACATAGAGACAGGCAGAGAGATTTCACTTTGGTAACATGAGCTGCCTCCATTTCACTTCATCCAGAATCACACACACACATACAAGTAATAAATAATGCATGTTGTATGTACACACACACACACACACACACAGACAGACAGGGGCCCAGTCCAACTCAAAATCTTATTCAAAGTAAGTTAAGGAACCAAAAAAAAAAAAGCTATTTTTACAATAAAGCTACTTTCATCTTCTGCAGCCGAGACTTTTTTTTTCTTTTTCCCTCTGTTCGATTGAGTTTGACTTCTTGAAAAAGCACATTAAGAGCCTGTTGCAAGACATTTCGGCCTTCAGCTTCACCGCCGATGTTTGGACCACGGCGGTCCGCCCGATCTCTCTCATCATCCTCACCATGCTGCGGATTGATTTGAATGGATTTTGCTCCCCACTGAAAGAAAAGCAGCGTGCACACATCAAACTTGTACACCAGCGAAGCCATAGCAGGGGCGGTCTTTAAAATCGATGCGTTTTTCTGGTCAAAATGCTGCACTTTTACTCATATCAGTGTTTGGTATTTGCAATTCCTGATTTGAAGTATTTAAGTTGTATCTTTGCATCTGTGACAAAAGGGAAGCTTTGAGGACTTTTCTGTTCCCATTCATCCTTTTTTTATGGTAAAGCTCTATAATGTGCACTAAAAAATGGACACATGGCTGCAGAAAGAGAGAAAGAGAGCGAGCAGTGTTAATCTCTGCAGGCTTTCAGAGTTTTGCCTTCAGCATGCTCCGCTGCTCACAAATACCTCGACTGTTCCTCTGTGTTTGCGAGTGTGTGTGTTTGTGCGTGACAACAGATGGAGACAGATAAAGCATTTTTATCCATTGAGGAGTCGAGAATCGTACGGGTTGCATCACACAAAACTACAGCAGGGAGCCGCAGAGTAGTCGGATGCTTCGCTTTTTCCGAGGCTCGCCAGCGGAGAAATTGCTGCAACTGCACAGGACAGAAGGAGTGCAGAGAGCCTCGGTGCGGATCAGCAATTTAAGATAAGATCGGAGAAGATAAGATGTACTTAACAAAATAGAGAATAAGATTATAATGGAAGTTCCTTACGACAGACGCAGGACAAGGGAGAATGACAAGGTCGAGGCGGAGAATAAATTGAGAGATTGTTAGAAATGAAGTGCGGAGTGAACAGAGGATGGAGACGGGGAAGTGGTGATATGATAGACATGAATAAATGGAGACTGAGAAACACGAGCGAGAATGAGAATGAGAAATGCCATGAAAACTTTCAGTGAAAGAGTCTGGTTGAAGGACAGAAACAAGGGAAGCGGTGACAGTCGTGACTGAACGAAGTGACAGACTCACAGGGAGGCCATGTTTGTTATGGAAAGAGTATGAAGTGTTCCCGTGCAGAATAAATGAAATAGAACGAAAAGAGCGTTTAAACTTGCCTCTTTTAATGTACTCGCCACTTCCACTTCTGTCTCTCAAACTGTGCTATTAAAATGCCCCAGATTCAAACAAAGAGGCTTTAAAACACCTGCTTCCTGTGATTTATTAAAGTGCAGCTGCTTGTAGTTTTCCCTTCTCTTGTGTAAAATGTATTTCTATATCAAATCTATGTGGTACTACAGTCCAGCTTGTTACATGTTTTGCTCAGCGTGGCTTAACAGCTACATTTTTGTTGTAATGTTACCAGCAAAAACTGCGTGTAAAAAGTTGGACGCAGCTTCAGGTGGATGTGCCTTAAACCTATATTCTTCCTAACAGCCAGCAGGGGGCGACTTCTCTGGTCAGGTTGTATAGAAGTCTATAAGAAAATGATTCTACTTTTTACTTAATTTGTTACCTCAGAAAATATTTTGCTAATGAATTTCTGGTCTCAATCACCAGTTTTAAGTCTTCATCAATACAGCATGACGTTCATTTTGTGAATTATAGTGCCATTCAGAGTAAACTAGACAATACATTTCTACTCTACCAATTCAAGTTGTGTTATCAGTAAACCCCTGATTAAAATTTTACCAACAGCACTTCTGAAGTTGAGCATGTGGCTCTATATTACCAACTTCCTTGTCTACGGTTTTGGAACATCAGTGGGCTCATATTGCGTTTGTGTACCAACCTAACCATGTAACCTGCTTAGTATGTGGTCCTGATTTTGTTCCTGTCTTCTCCATCCAGAGGGCTAAGATTGGTCCAGGCAAGAACACAGAGGGCAAGTCAGCCAATGCTGCATCCCGGTTTGACTCCAATGGCAACCAGGACCGCATGAAGCTGGCCGACTTTAACTTCCTGATGGTGCTGGGCAAGGGCAGCTTCGGCAAGGTAAGGGCGCGGTATGAATGTGTGCTTATGTTCCTTCTGTCTACTATTCTTATGTGATGCAGACGCACATGTTGGCAATTCCTGTGCATCTACTCCTACATGTAAACAATCCTAGCTGTTTTATTTATATAATGTCCTGAATGCTTAACTCAGGGTATTAAGAAGGAAGCAGATTGGGCTGTGTCTGACATATATTGTTCAACTTCTGTGGCTGCAGCAGAGAATTGTCATAAAGAGCAATTTCTGTCCCAAAGTCCAAAGCTTGCTAACATTAGTCACCAAATGTTACCAGTCATACCAGATTGACTTGGGATTATTTACACTTTACTAACAACATGCTCTGTAACTTTCCCCTCAGAGCTTGCAGCCACTGTTGTTGCTTTAAACAATCTGTTGCCCTCACATCTTGATATATTGCTTCCACAATTCATGGGCTTAATTGTGGTCATATAGCATTCATTTTAAATCACGGACACACCCAATGCAAGGAATGTATTACACACTGATCAGCCACAGTGTTAAAATCACCATAAAAACAGGACCGTTGGCAGGATCCTGTCGTGTCTGGCAGTGGATCCTTTAGGTGGGTTTTGAGGATGGGGTCTCCATGGATGGACCTGAGCTCAGCGTCATGTTTCTTGAGCTGTTTCTGAGCATCGCGGCAGGGCACGGCGTCCTGCCGAAAGAGGCCACTGACGTCGGCCGGTGCTGTTGCCATGGTGCTTGGTCTGCAATAATCTTTAGGAGGGTGATACGTGTTGGGGTAGCGTCACATGAATGTCAGGTCCCAAGGTTTCCCAGCAGAGCGTTGCATTGTAATGAGATGATCAATGTTAGTCACCTGTCAGCGGCTGTATGTTGTGGCAGACGTCACGCTCGTGCAAAGGCTTGTTTTTAATTGTGCGCTACAGCAAATATCCCTTTTCGGCACGCATCCGTGTTTCAGCGAGCGTTAGAGCTTAAATCGACAAACAGAGCTCAGAGGGAAGGAGGAAAAAGCTGGACAGAAAGAGAAGATAGAGATAGAGGGAATTAAAGGAGACGAAGCGCAGGTAGACAGAGATGGATAAAGCGAAAGAGGCGAAGAGGATGACGTGACAAGTGGAGAGAGGGATGAAAGGAGAGAATGAGATGTGAGGCATGGTGACAAGGTTGACATGAATGAATCGAGGGAGAGGTAAAAACGTCAGGCTGAATGAAAAGCGAGAGGGCGAGAAAAGGAGGGGGAAAACCTTGTGGGGGGAGGAGGGGAAGACAGACGTGAATGAATTAAAATCGAGGCGAGAAACGGAATGAATGGGAAGATGTGGCGAGAGAGAAATGGAGGGAAAAATTGGGTAAAAGATGGGCAGAGCGGGAGGGTAGAGAGAGAGTGGAAGTGACAGAAAGAGCACGACAGAGAGAGAGCGAGAGAGAGAGAGAGAGAGAGAGAGAGAGACCATTGTCTGTGTATTAGACCTGTAAGCCGGTTGCCTGTTTCCATGGTAACAGGCTTTTAAAGCTACACTGATGCGTCATTGTGGAGAGCCTGAGTCGAGGCTCGATCATTACTGGAATACCCGACTCACACATGCAAACACACATAAACACACGTCTCAGAAACATGCATGCATGAGTGCACACCTGCTGTAGACACACATGCAAAGACTCGCACATTCTGATGTACACCTACTGCTCGCTTTGGCCTGCACCGTGCACACACTCACCAGTATGTTTTGTGCAGTATTTAGTCTCTGTCTCTGTATCTGTAGTTAGTAGACACACATGTTAGTCATTCTAAAGGTTCCTCGGTTTGCAGGCTGAGGAATTCTGGTACCTTCAGAGCTGCTTTTTTCCGCCACAGTGTCTGAGGACATTTGCATCATAACACCGCTGCCAACGTTTCTCTGTGGACATTCTCGCTGTGTGATAATAACACACACAGATCTCAGGGGCAAACACAAGCAAGCACTCGCTTCATTCTGATCTGTATTGTCATCTCTCTTTACACAGCACAGCAGGAGCGCAAAGATGCAAACACACGTGTTGGAATTCACATTTTTTTTTCTGTTGCCCATCACTCGTCTGTGTAACGACGGGATGTGCACGCTTCGATGTGTGCTTGTGTGAATTACAGTGAAGCTTCAGCACCAGGGACAGCTCCTCTTCAATCCTCTGCTCACAGGCATTTTGGACAGTTGTTGTTTGTTGTTGCTAAGCCTTTATTATATACAAAATTAATTTATAGTGGCATTAAAGAGGCAAAAACATGATACAGGGCGCTCTCTCACCTGACCTGACTGAACAACGTGACACAGACTGCCTGAAAAGGAGACTTAAAGTCTCCTTTAAAGCCGACTCTGGTGGTTTTTGCTTGTGCTGTCCAATTAAAACAAACCACCACAAGATTTAAGTATGTGTGATTTTAGCTGTTTCAGATTTGGTGGCAACTGCAATTTTAGCTAGCGCGATGGCTGAAGAAGCAGAGAAGAGCATGGGAAATATCGAGAAATATTTTAGTTTGATTTTAGAAGAAAATATTTTAGCAGGCAGGGGAAAAAAATGTATTTCTTGTAGATGTAATGCTCTGTTTAATTGGCTGGATATTTGTGTGTGCATTTTCAGTTTATTTCCTTTCGTTATTCAGTGTTTGGAGTTTTGAAGCAGAAAGACAACTATATGGTAACTGTATAGTTAATGCAAATATATGAGTATTAATTTATCTCGAGGCATGTAGTCATTGTAATATTGAATCATATTATAGATCATCTCATATCATGCAGGCCAACTTCCTTTATTGTCAATCAGGCAATTTGAAATCGGCGATCTGAATTGGCAAATATATTTAATTCTCTGAAGCTGGTAGACATTTTTTTATTTTTTTTTGCTCCTGTCACATTTTTACTTGCTGTTGGCTCATTTTTCACTTCAACTAAAGTTCTGCAACTTTATGGGAACCGCAACCATGGCTAGAACTAGAGAACTCAAAGATGTCTTATGTGCGATGAATGGTATGATGCCATACATCATAAAAAATGAAAGATACATTTCTTAGATTATTTATTTTACAAACTTGGGGGGGGTGGAATCAATATTTGCAACATTTTTCCAAGTACCCACAGCTGTTGCCATTACTGGACGGTACAACCTCCATGTATTTTACTGTTTACATTTTTAATTTGTTTCAGTTCTTGTCTCCTGTCTGTTCCGTGTAAACACTGCCTGCAGTTCATCCCAGTTCAGCTGAGAAGCACCAGAATTTTTCTCATGTGGCTGTTGGTTGCAGCTGAGTCACTGATAGCTTCACGGTTGCACTTCAGTACTTAAATGAGACGTTTGGAATAAAGTAGTTTGATGAATGTTGGCAGTTTTGAGCTTCCACGGCAGAACTGTCAAAGTTGAAAATCCAACAGTTCTCTCTGTTTGTACAGTTTCTGGCTCTGATAAATGGTGTAATTTTGAGAATTAAAAAAAATATATTATACCTTTGAAATGAACTGGTAGGTTTGGGGCTTCAGAGGGCTAAACAAATCAGTAGCCATGGCAACCGTAACTTTTTACCATGACTTCCTCTCCAAAGTGAGTTAGACTTCATAGAATAATGACCACACTATATATCTCATCATAATATGATTAAATGCTTTATTAAAGTGTATTATGTATTCTGTTCACTACCTGGAGTTGTTTTCTAGCTATTTGTGATTGCATGACCTGCTGTTTGTCTCCCAGAATTTGATGAGTCAGTTTTAGTGCTGATGATGCAGGATGACGTTGCAAAAACTGTCCAACCTGTCAGTTCATATGACTTAATGTTTACAGCTCCTGCTACCTAAAGGAAAACAGTGCATCACTGTTTTCTTTGTCTGGTCCAACTGAACCAAACTATAACAATGAAAACGACCTTTAGAACTATTAGTTATGTGCAGTGCATGTACTGTGCAGGCAGTGACTTAAAAAAAGATGCCATGACAACTTTGCACATGGAGTGTGGTGCTCGTGTTCAATCATTCTTACAATTTCCCCTCGAAGAAAACACTGCAACCTGTCATATAGTAGAATCCTCTGAATGGTCACAGATTTTTAAACCTTAATACATCAAAGTTGCTGCTCATTGAACCAGCAATGCAGCTCGGTGACAACACAGACATTATGCATCTCATCTCTGCTGTTTCTGATGTTGCAAAGCTGAATGAGATGCAATGTGGTGGACGAGTCGGCAAATTGGCATCTGAAGTAGAACTGAGATATCATAAAAAAAATCTCTAAAATCCTGTTTTCATTTAGGATTTTCTGGTACACTCTACCTTAGTGGCTACATGGTCGATATATAACATATGACAGTTCACAATAATGCAGACAGCCCGGCGTAATACAGCACAGCGCAGTTTCATGCAGTGCAGCAGACTGTGGTTTCATTAATTTTGCCTGGATAAATTCACTCTGCAAGGTCAGCAGAGAAAACAGTGGCATCATTTACGACACATGACAGCTAATATCCTCGGGATTGCCTTCTGGCAAATGACCCTGAACAACTTTCTTGGATAAAACACTGACACACGCCACAGTTCCTAATGTAGCACACTGCTGCAGTTTATGAATGGCAGTGTGCCCGAGAAGGAAAATGCATGTGGTCAACAGCTCTGACAGGGAAGGTAAATGCATCAGGTGACTCAGATTACAAAGGTATAAGACAGATTGTGACAGATTGTAATGATACCACACAGCTCCTGTTGTTGCTTTGTGATCTGTGCAGCTTCCGTCTGCAGCAGCATGTGATTTCTGATGAATCGCTCTGGTTCTGTGTCTTCTCTCTCTCTCTCTCTCTCTCTCTCGTGTTGCTTTTGTCCTCGTCCTTGTGGTTGTACAAAATGAACTTGGGGGCCAGATGGTGTCCTTTGTCTCTGTTTCAACTTTATAGAGTTTGTATTTACATAGAGTCACACTGCTACCATATGCGCTGAGTCCAAGCACACAAACACACACACAGACTCACATTTAAGCCGGAGTTCAACAAAGGATGCCACCAGTACGGATCCAACTTCAATAGACTTTAATGCTGAAGCTTCTTCAACTGTGGTGCCCTTATTGGAAAAACACACATTAACACCCTCATACACACACACACACACACACACACACACACACACACATTGAACTTTGTCTCTTTGTCCATCTGTGCTGAGCTCCCTGTTGAACACTGAACCTGATAACCTCTCTGCATTATCATACCTGAATATTTATAAGACATAAACAGCAAAGTTGCTAAGTTTCTCGTCTCACAGGGGGAAAAAATTAATATAAGGTCACTGGTGTTGCTTAATTCTTGATGAATCTGGAGAGAACGACCAGTGAGATACGTTTTCCATTTACATAGTTAAGCTGACACTCATCTACAGCCACTTGGAATAAGTGACTTGGCAACAGTTCTGCTTATTTCTCACATATTTGTGGCACTCGTTTCTGTTTGCAGACACAACAGCCTGTCAGCTGACTGTGGAGATTAAGCCCGTGTTCCTTCTAAGATCTAGACTATCTCACAGCCCCAGAAGAATGCTTTATTAAACACATCAATGAATCAATCAAACTAAGCTTTTCTTAAGCAGCTGAGCAGCTGCAAAATTTTCAAGTAACCGGGTTCACCCTGTGTTTTATGCAAATTAACACCAGATATGTAATAAAAGGTTTAAATATAAAATACAGTTGAATGACAGATACTTTGTTAAGGTCCCAAAACTCAATTAGCCTTGTGGGGAACTACAAACACACTATGCTAGCCATGTAATAGAAAGTCATCTTTCTTCCACAGTCTCCTTGCCTGTTCACTGCCTTGTTTTAAGATAAAATGGTAAAAAAAAAATAAAATAAAAATGTTTCAACAGTGTAGTTGTATACGTCAAAGAGAAAAACTTATCTGTGCTTATAGTTCACATAAATAACAAGTTTCTGAAAATTGTGTGGGTTTCTTGTTCTCTGTCCTGAAGGAAACTTTCAGAAGTTTTTGCTCCTAACTGGCATAGATGTTCAAACCCCTGGGCTACGATGTTCTGATGCATCTGAATTTCCTATTTTATATACTGCCTAACATGAAAGCTAGCTACTAATGCATGCATTTTGTAACTGTTGGGTTAAGTCTTACCTTTTTGCATTATGCAGTTTCTTGAAATCAGTATTCCTTGAGTTACAAAATAGACATTTAAGGGAGAGTTCAAGCACAAAAACAAAATCTCATCTGCACCTCAGCACCAAAGCAAATATGTGAATGCCTCAAACATAAAGCTCCACTTTCTCAGCCTGTTAATACACACAACAGACACCTCCGACTGTTTCTCATATTAGTCCAGATTTTGTTGCCCAGAGAGCTGAACTTCAGTGAACTTTAGTTCTGGTCACGAGCCTCCTTCAACTTTTATGAGATGACCTGCGAGCTGAGACTTGACCCACATTTGGCCTGCTATTTGCAGCTGCTACCGGATTCTTCAGGAAAGAGGATATGAGGACAGGAGCAAAAGAAAGGAAGAGGGGAAAGCAGAAAGAGATAAAAATCGACAAAGGATGCAGTGAGCAAGACGAGAGAGGAAGATGATACAAAAACATTTACTCATTTTTTTTGGGAGAGGCTGTCGCAGCGTGAATCCGGCCTTGGAAAAATGTACACTGCAGCAAACACACACAACCACAAACACAGCAATGCAGAAGTGTGGATGTAGATTCTTGGCATTCTCTGATCCACCTCTGTAGGAGTATAAAATCTCAATCAACAAACCACCATCTCAAACCACAATCCAGGGTGTGTTTTTTTATTCATGCGAGTGTGCATGCATGTCACAGCAGATATGCCTCGAGACTTGGAAAAAAAACAAAAATCTGACCTCCTACAAACATCTCTCTCAGTCATTCCCTCGGTCCTTTCTCACCTTCTGCCCTTCTCATACTCCATCAACTTCTCTTCACCCGTCCACCTTCCTTTATTTCCATCCACCCCATAACTGTACGTCCTGGAGTATCTGAAAATAAGGTGGGAAATAATCCCTACTTTTTTCTTTTCTTTTTCTCTTTCTACTCGTTTTTTTTTCTCCTTTATGTCCTTCCTAACATTCATGGAGGGGGCAAAGAAAAGCCAAACAGCACACACATTTTAGAGAAGCTTTCAATATGTTTGGCAACAAGGTTGGAAAATTCTCACCAAACTGGCAAAATTTCACTTGCACTAAGATGGAGATTGTTGCAATGGGGTTAAGTTTCTCTCACAGCACAGATCTTATGAAATTAACTGTATGAACAGGTGGCAGATTTAGAACACATGCTCTGAATCATTTTAGTTTTAAACAGACTACAGAATCATTCAGCCTTTGATTTTGCAGGTTGTACTCACTGTTGTGGCAGAAAGATTTGATCAGCTGTCCAGCCATTTAGCTGGTTGGTTCAAGAAAACTGTCTCAGCTGCATTTTTAATGTTTGTAACTCACTCATTCAGAAAGAGTCTTGCAAAAAAAAAAAAAAGATCTTAAATATTCACTACGTGCGTGACATCGTCCTGGAAGACATTCATTCTCTCACATACTTTTTCATACTTTCAAATATCTACAAGTATTTCACAAATCCAATATAATCCGTAGAGTCATTAACTTACAGTTAGTTCATGTTCTGCTCTTTGGCTTTGGATGCAGCGTTCAGTCATCACTGTAGATGGTATGTTGTTCACCCTGACCTGGGAATTACATGCATTCAATAATTCGTATACTTTTGCTTTGCAAAGATATGCAAAATCTTACGTAAATGAATGGCCGGTTCTTGCTGTGGCTTCTGCTACAACCAGCATGAACAAACTGACCTCAAAAAATAAAGCAAGAAATGACACCTAATACAGTGTAAATATGTTTTTTGAAAATGTGAATAAAATTACAATAATACACTGTGTTTATTAGAATGTGCATGTCCAATGTAGAATAAAGTTAAAAACCTATAACTGTAATTAACCATACTTTTTTTTTTTTTTTTTAGATTAAGATTAGGATACATGTGCAAATTATCACACAGTTCCTTTTTATGTAACAGATCGAACTGTTAAAGTCAAGCTCAGTTCTGTCAGTGTATTTCTAATATTAGATACAACTAGTGACAATTAACAGAAAAAGAAATTCTGATATTTTTAGTCGTTTTTGCAACAAAAATGTTGAATAAATGTGTTTTAATCAGTGTGTAATATCCATAGGCACAGTTTACATACAATTTACAGCATAAATGCGCACACAAACTCATTTCTATAAGATTTTAGTTTCAGTTATTTTGCTGTATTTTTGTGCTTCAGCTACCAGAATATTACAGTTTGCTACAGTGGACTTTATTTTTGTAAAGAAAAGAAAAATGCTGTTTTAGTGCTGTGGCCAAAACTTGCTTTTTATCCTGCTGGAATTTAAAAATAAGGGTGGTGGTGCATGGATACAACCAGACTTTTATCTCACAATCTGAAACGCCTCAGATCGAACAGTCTGACTACAAACTGCTACAAGAATGTATTAGAGTGACATGAAACACATTATCTATCAGGCTTTTATTATGCGTTACATCTGTCTTTCCTTCCTTACTGGGTTCATTTCCCTCTAGTTTCCTCTCATCCATTGACATGCTGAAAAGTGATAAATCAGTTTTCTCTTTTGTCCTTCCTCTCTTTAGTCCTACTTTGACTGTGTAACCCAAAACAGTCAGAGAAGCTTTCCTTTATCACTGCCGTCCTCTACAGCACCTCCCTCATCTCCCCCACTTTCCCCTGCCTCCCCCATCGCTCTCTCCCTGTTTCTTTCCTTTCTGCACTGCACCCTTCTTCTCTCTATTTGTATTGAAACCATGGCAGGAGCTGTGTGTCATAAAGATTTTGAATATTGATGAATTTATCTTCCTTTCATTTCACGTCGTTGCCCTTCCTTGTTCTTCTGCCCTCTCCAGGTGATGCTGGCAGAGCGCAAAGGGACGGAGGAGCTGTTCGCCATAAAGATCCTGAAGAAGGACGTCGTGATCCAGGATGACGACGTGGAGTGCACCATGGTGGAGAAGAGAGTGTTAGCTTTGGCTGGGAAGCCTCCGTTTTTAACGCAGCTGCACTCCACCTTCCAGTCTATGGTGGGTGGGCACACGTATCCTCACAGCAGTGAAACAATATTTTACAAAACACTTGTTTCTATATCCTACAAATAACATCCGTTCTATTTGCTAGCTGTCCCACGTTACTACTAATTCAACACACTAGTATTTCACTTTTTTTGACACTGATCAGCAGAAAATCCTCTAAAGTTATCTGAATTAAAGCTGCGGTAAGCAAGACTTTGAAAATATACAACAGGAAAATGGCCATCCTCTGTCTTCAGGTCTTCCTCTAAAGATACTCCTTCTTAACACGTGAATGCACCTCAACGCTGGAGTAATGTGTTAGTGGAGTGGAGCGTGGCACATTAAAAACATCTCATCTCAAAAAACACACATATAGGCTACATTACAACATTTGCAAAATGCCCTGTTCAAAACCAGCATAGACTAACAGATAAATACCATCAAATGACACTTGCTGGCTATTGGCTCAATGCAGACAGATAGCGAACACAAGGCCAGTAGCTGCAGTTCTTAAACGTGTAGCTCTGCACTCAGAGGCACCTGCAGGTCAAAACACAAACCGCAGGAGAGGGAAGACACAAACACATGCAATCAGAGCTAATAAAGAGCAGTGAAAGACACAAAATGGATGCAATAATTTGGCAGGAAAGGCAGCAGCGCAAGATGTTGCAGGCTTAGGTGGAACTGTAAAATGTGGCTGCCGTTGTTATGCTATCTTTCCACTAGCTCCACTAATGTTCCGCCTAGACTTGTAGAAGATTCTGATGTGTGCAGCAGTGTTGTTAAACAGGCAGTTTGGCCATCCAGTCATCTCATGTGGGTCAAATGCAATGATTGCATGGACTGTCAGATAACAGATTGTTTTATTTCTAGCATCACAGCCTGGTTACTTTTAGGATGTAAAGAGACTTTCTGCAGATATGACAGAAATGGTCCCGAAACACATTGCGTACTCTAGCTTTAATTACAGTCATGAATTACAATAAACTTGTCTCCTTAGCATTCACTTCAACCTAGCAACAGTAGTCATTGTATGTAAGTCCAACATGAGTAAGTAAAAATTAATAGTAAGGCATGGAAATACGAATTTCAAAGGCTTTATTGAACAGTTTTATTTACCATTGGTTCAGATTCTGTAGATGTCGGTTTAGTTACTAAATGTATGTTGGTTTGGTTACATATGCCCCACACACCAATTTAAAAACGGTCCATTTTCCAAACTGAACCAACGCCCTACGTAGTCCACTGTCATGATACATGCTATCAGAGTTGAGCTACAGTGTGCCATCCCGCTGAAGGGCACAGAAACACTGCTGGTGAACGCTGTGGTCTTAACAGCAGCAGCACCTTTCCTGCTGTCACCAGCTCACAGCTGGAATACGCAGGCCGGATTCGCACTTGATTCGCGCTCGTCTTTTGACGTATAATCCATATTACGCTGAAAATGAGTCAACAGAGGAGTAAATATAGCTCGCCAGTCTCATTCTCCAACACCGAGGGTATTTCATTTAGATTCACATGCTACTTAAACACACTCATCCGTCGTTTTTTTTCCTTGATTAGTGATGAATCAATTTGAGGTTGTGGTTAAAGACGAGGCAAATAAAGCTGACCACACACACACAAACTAGAAGTGAGTGTGTTAATCCTGCTCAGCATTAATTCTCTGACCAGAGGAAGGCTTTTGTACGTGGAGTTTAGCATGCAGTTCTTACTCACAGGCAATTATGGCCGTCATCCATACGCATATACATACTATATGTGGTGTGTAGTGTGCAATATGTGCACATACTGCACACAAACAACTGCTCGTAAGACTTATCAGGCAGTGCAGGTCCTGACACACAAAACTCCACAATATGTTCTCCAAAACACACACACACGTGGCCACACACCAAATCCCTCAACTTTTTCCTCTCATACTGTACCTTATTGGCAATTTCTGTAGATAATGGAGGACAATAGGTTGTTAAATTGATGTCACTGTGTTCCCTCTGCTGAAGACTGGCTGGAAACACCGACAACAAGCCAGTCATCTCTTCCTCTCTGTCCTCTTCCTCCATCTTTCTTTCATTTACCCTTCAATTTTCACTTCCTGTCATTTTTTTACTGCCTCTCATTTGAGCTTCTTTTCTTTCCCTCCACCATATTTCACACTTTCGTCTGATTTCTCTCTCATTTGCTTTTATGAACGTGTAGTTTTTGACCTTTCGTTCTCCGTCTGCCCTTCTGTCTCTCTGTAGGACCGCTTGTATTTTGTCATGGAGTACATAAACGGCGGAGATCTCATGTATCAGATACAGCAGGTCGGCAAGTTCAAAGAGCCTCACGCTGTGTGAGTACAAACACACACACACCTTTCTCATGCCGTCGTCTATAGAAAATCTCAGCACCGTGCAAATAGGTGTTTCACAGTTTAGTAATACTTTTTTTTTTTTTAATCACAGTGAATAAGCCATCAGCAATTTGACTGGCTCAGGTGATGGATGAGCAATCCGAGCAGAGCCTGGGGGTGAAATATGTTGTTTGCCCCGATGCACCTTGCTGCTCCGAAGAGCTTCAAAGAAATGAAAGTAATCCAGCAGCTCCTGAGAGTTTTCAGTGTGTGGTACAATACCTCCAAAACTGCAGAATATAATTAAGGTGGCTGCCGAGATCACTGGTGTCAAGCCGAAACCAGCGGGCTGACATATTTGACAAGCGGGCTGTCGGGGAATGCGAGAGCCGTGGAAGAGTCAGACCTTCATCTGCTTTATAGGGAATTAGAGTTTCTTCCCTCTGGCAGAGGGTTTAGACTGCTGAAGGGCAAGTCGAACTTGATGAGGAACTCTTTTATCTAAGGCCATCAACTTCTTCTTCCCTCTTTAATTTATTTATTAGACAATAGTCAGGATTATTCTGCTTCACGGATGATGATGTTCCCTTGAACTTTGGCTCAGTGTCATGTCTTTTTTTGTATTTTGTGCTCCTCTGTATTTATGCTCCGCAGACGCTGTTGGTTTTTCTTACCGCGGCGATCTCCCGCTGGTGGTCATTCTGATCACAGATAAAACACCTACAAAGCTCTAAACAGGCTCTGCATATTCTACACTTCAGAATGCCTCTTGACATCTTTTACATGCACTTTACAAACAGACACTGATCGCGCACGCCCTGTGCAAACATGGCCGACTGCGTGGCCAGTCTGTCCAGACTTCTGCTGTTGATCTTATCAGCTGCTCTCTGGCCTTGAAGAGACAGCGCTGACCTTTATGCCGACACACACATACACACAAATTATCCCTCTGTTTTCCCGCTGTCCTTTCTCTTGGCCTCTTTCTAATTGCTGTTGTTGTTTCTCTTTTGTGCGCGTAGATTCTACTCTGCCGAGATCGCCATTGGTCTGTTTTTCCTACATCAAAAGGGCATCATCTACAGGTAACAGTCACACCTCAGAATGCACAACATGATCAGCAAACCAAGTACAGCTAAAGTCGGACATAGAAATTCACTATTATGTATGTTGCACCTCAATCTGGATTACAAAAAGCAGCACATTTATTATATCCACTGTCCCATGTAAAAATCCTCAAAGTTCTCAAATATATTTCTATTATTTTTTTCTATTCTCTCATCCTCGATACTTTCCGTCACCTCCTCTCATCGCGCCTCATTCCTTCTCACCTGAGATACAAGTAAAGGAGGCAACGAAGAGATGCGAGGAGTCGAGACATCTAACAAAATGAGACATCTTCGCTTCTGAGCCGTCGTTCTGAAGCAACACCTACATTTTTATTTATTTTGTTTAACACGCATGTGGTGTGAAGTACAAAGAAGGCGTGACAGACAAAAAGAGTGCCGTACAAATAAAAAGTGACATGTTGTGACTGAGTGATGTATATTATATACACACATTTGTCAGTCCTGCTCCCTGCTCCCACCACTGGTTTGGATATTCTAGCTGCGTGTCGTTGCCTTTTGTGCGCTATGGGTGCGGAATAATACAGGGAGAATGCACAGGTGTGTCTTTGCTGTATCCTCAGGCGAGCCTAGTGTTTTGAGACATCCGTCAAGATGGCACACTTAAAAAAAAAAAGGTTTCAAGAAATATTCCTCCAGATGGGGCACCAGAAAACCAAATATCTCTTAAAAATACCGTCATTTTCAATTTCAATTAAAATACACTTTCTGACCTTGATTTTACAACATCATTGTTGGGCTTTTTGAATGTCTACTGAAGGATAATTACATGTGTAGAAACAATGAAATTACGTATAAATAATGTCATGTAATGCTACAATACAATTAATCAGGTGTGATTATTTCGTAAAGTGTTTTTTTTGGGGGGGGTGGCGGGGTTTATTGTATAATTTTATTTAAAATATATGTCAACAGTCAAACAGTCTACTGTTAATTTGATATCGTATTATGTGCAATAGGAGTATATGATGCTTAGCTGTAGCTTTATAATCCCGTTAAAAATTAATTATTACAATATCCTCAGCACACTTTTGTACCTTGGATGATACAAGTTTCAAAATTAGCTAGTTTGTCTCATGAATGTGTTGCTTTTAAAGTGCTGGAATGCAATCCATCCCAAATGTTTTGGTTTATTTCAGCATCATTTTACTACTTTCTACAAAAAGCAAAGAAAAATCAGCAGGTTGTGTAGTTTTGTTCTTTAAAACGGGAGTTTTGAGTGAAGCCATGACTCTGCTTGCAAGCAAATATGATTTTTTATTTATTTATTTTTTTTAAATATTGGCTTGGCAAGTATTTTGAGGTAAAAAAAATGCACCTAAAACATGTTTTATATCTCTATGATATACACAATGTTTTTTCTGAGAAGCATTGAATGTGAACACAGCCAGGTTTGTTCACGAGGAAACTCCTTTAGCTGACAAAGATCTCTGGACCACAGGATCCACGTTGTCATCAGTAGGAAGCTGGACATGATGTGTGTTTATATAAAACAATGAGATTGATCTTGACGACATTTCAGACAAGAAGTAGGCTTTGACCTTTAGACATGACCTACAATTAACTGCCGTCTGCTGTTCATAATATCAGCCAAGAATCCCAAATGCCAATCAGAGCTGCATATGTTATGTCAACATCCATGAAACTGCCCCTAACCGAAAACTACAGAGGCACGTACAATAAACGTCGTTCCACCTGTAACCTTGTTTTCTCGTCCTGTAGAGACCTGAAGCTGGACAATGTCATGCTGGACTGCGAGGGCCACATTAAGATAGCAGACTTTGGCATGTGTAAAGAAAATATGAACGACGGCATCACCACCAAGACCTTCTGTGGAACACCAGACTACATCGCTCCTGAGGTAAAGTGTCAATCATTGGTTAGTCAGCGGTACGCAAACAATCCCGGTCTCTTAAAGGTAAATACAGTTTTTCACTTTCTTACAGAGAATTAGATGAGAGGATTGATGCTACTAATATTTGTAAGTGTTTATCTGGAGCCAGCAGCCAATGTAGCTGATCTTTACATGAGTTAATATCATTGGGGTGTAGTGCTTTATTATAATATTGCACCTAAAGCTTTGACTGACTCGTGTGAGACGGCGTGGTGCATGTGACGTGTCTTCTGCTGCACAGGATTCTGGGTCTGCATACTGCAAAATGTGACTGGATGTAGTGGGACATCCTGGTATTTTTGGCTTTCTGTATTTGACGTAGTATTTAATTGGACAGGCTAAATTTGGCACACTAACTAGCCGGGAACATTAGAACAGATTAAGTTACATAGTCAGCTTAGTTCTATTCACCAATAAGAAAAGCAGCCTTTAAGTTCTATAATCACTTGTTTATCTAATTTCTTTTATCTGTAAAAATTACTTCACATGAAAACAAACATCTTCAGCTTTACAAGGGGGTCCTTTGCCAGATTGTTTCTTCACTAGAATCAAATGTTTTCTTCTCATCTAATGCTCAGCAAGAAAAGCATTTTTCATGCAGTAAACTCTTCCTTTAAGTGAAAACGTGGTGTAAACGATAGTACGGTTAATGAAACAGTTATTTGCTATGTTTACTGCTACTCCGTCTCTTACACTACGATGACGATTTAACACAACTTCTTTAACACCACTGCTGTTGGTAGCTGCTGTCTATAAGGAGAAGTCGATGCATTCAGACCACATGCTTAACAGATTGGAACTCATGTCCCCTGACTCTCCAAAGTTCGTTCCATGTAATATAATGTGATATTTATGATGTGGTTTATGGCTTTGTTTGTTTTTTTATGTGTTTGTATTAAATACTCGGTGAGCTTTTGAATTGCCCCCAGGGGATAAATAAAGTTATTGTAATTGAATTGAATTTTATTTTATTTAAATGTCAATTCACGTTTTAGTCCAGTTAGAATATGCTTTATCGAGATGGTATATTTTATTTCCAATTCCAAATAAAGGTATGATATTGAGAGTGTTTATGTTGTTGTGGCATATCTAAAACTGTCTTGAGTTTAGTCAAGTGAGACTGATACAAACTTAGCTTCATTCTGATTAACCCCAGTGTGTGATGTCAAGTCCTTAAGGCAAATCAAACCCTGTCAAAGATGTGACACGATATATTACATTTTAGTGTAAATTAATCCACCACAACAATAAAACCACTGACAGGTAAAATTAAAAACATTGATCATCACATGAACTTGAAATGTTTTGCTGGAAAACCTTGAATCCTGAGTAGTAACACAGGACTGAAATGATATTTTTGTTTCTTGAAGTTGATTGAAAGGTGACTTTTTGTGCCACTTGTTTTTTTGTTGAGACATTTTAGGTTATGTTTTGCTAAGTATTCTCCTTCTACTGTATGTTGTCTTGCTTTGAAATGATTATTGCATGTCATTTAAACAAATTATCTCATTTTTCAGATTATAGCCTACCAACCTTATGGAAAGTCTGTGGACTGGTGGGCCTTTGGTGTATTGCTCTATGAGATGTTGGCTGGACAGGTTGGTCAGTGTGTGGATGCCTTTAAAAATGTGTGATAATGTGTGGGTTTTGTTGAAGCCGTTTTTTTTGTTTGTTTGTTTGTTTGTTTTTTTTAAGATGAAATAAAAGCATCTTTGAAACAGCATGAATATGTGAGTCAAGCTCCTGTCTCAGCAGCATTTGTATTCATGACCCAACGTGAATTAAAACAAACACTGCTGATGGTAGCCTTTAAAATTTGACATCGTCTAATGAAAGGTTAGCTATTAAATTATATCCCATAATGAGTTTTTCTCTCATGGCATTAATAATTGTTAAGAATAGATGTGAGATTTTCAAATCCTGGATATCTCATTTGGAGTGGATACTGTGAATTTGTAAGTGTCCAAGGCCGGCACTGTTTTGATTCTCATGAGTTCAGACAAACAGCTTTTGATGATTCAGTTTAAATAGCCTCCATTTGTCCCGTTCTGCCCTCCGCTTCTTCTAACTCGTCTCTCCTCTGCTGTCCAGCCTCCATTTGATGGCGAGGACGAGGATGAGTTATTTCAGTCCATCATGGAGCATCACGTCTCCTATCCCAAGTCCATGTCCAAGGAGGCTGTCGCTATCTGTAAAGGGGTGAGTGTACATCCGCACATTCTGCACGCCGCGAGTCCTTGTCAGACTCTGAAGCTCAACCTTACTCCCTCCACACAAAACTGGGCTTTCTCTCTTTTTTTTATGACTTTGTCTTTGTCTCTTTCACACTGAAGAGAGAACTGTGAGGGTATTAAGAGTTTGAGGAAAGGAAGCAGGAGCGAGAATAGAAAAGGAGGAAGAGAAGGAGACATCAAAATTATCTGCATAATTAAAGGCCATTGTGAGGGAACATTTATTTGGAGTGAAACAACATTGTTCACTCTCGCTATCTGTCCCGCTTCCATCTCACCCTCCGTCTCACTCTCCGTCTCTCCTCTGCCGTCCTTCTCTCCGTCTCTGCAGTGTTCATTGTTAAGCCATTGTTTCGCCTTTTTTTCATTGTACATCCCCTCTATCGCTCCATCACACACACACACACACACACAAGCGCACACATTCCCCCTCTAACGCACACACACACTGCATTGCTCTAATAGCTTAAGCCTGTGCACTGTGCTCAGCTGGCTGTGGAAACTCCTCTTAAGAATAGACCGGCCAATAGCAAATGATGCCCTGACACTTCCCAACTGGATCGGACTGGTGTGTGTGTGCACTTTTACTCATTTTGTGGGGATATGCTATGCAAAACGTTACATTTTACAATGACAGATTGGGTTGAGGGTTAAGCAAGTGCTTGTTAAAGGTGCAGTATAGTAAGTCGACGTCCTCTGAACTGATGGAAACTCTGTGTGTGTGTTTGTGTGAGCTGATTACTGCTATAAATGGAGTGGGACCTCTCTATCAAACCTCTGTCTCTCTGTCTCATCTCCTAACTGTACGCTTCACCGACCACAATCAACTCCACACTCTGGCACACACATTGATGTATGGAATGTTTAGATACACATTCAGTCCTTTTTGCAGAGAGCAGGTCGTCTCTCTAGTGATTTCGTCGACATTCAGGACCTAACAAAGCCCAACTGAGAGCTGGAGTTCAACAGTAAGACTCTCATTCTTTATATCACAACAGAAAAACTTTTTAAAAAACATCCACTTAAAGGTATGGTATGTAACATTTCCATATTAAAATGTCTTGAAATCGACAAGACTAGGGATATATTAACCGAAAAGGGGGCAGAAAATAGACATGCACGTCAGAAAATGTGCTGTAGATCAGGTGTGATACAGTATTCTGCACCTCATCTGTTGTGTTCAAGACTCTAGCAACCCAACGAAGCCGTTCGTAGGTCTACGAGTTCTTCTGTGTTTGCAATCAGAGAGGATTGTGGGGGTTTAGCTAACTGCGAGTCACCATGACAAAGACTTCTGTGTCGTTTAATGGCTTCTGGCCAGTGCTACTGTATTGCAGATGAGCCAACGTTTACCAGGACAGCTTACCTATAATCAGCAGATGTCACATGTACATGGTCAAAAATGGCTTGATCAGTGTCAGACTGAGAATAGAATAGAAGTACTTTATTTATCCGAGACCTGGGAATTTTTTTTTTAAAGCAATTTAAGACTTAAATCGCTTTAACTTTTAATCTATTATTGATTGACAATATGGGACAATGTGGGCAAACAGTGGTTAAGATAATTGTATAATTTTGCATCCTGAGACTAGACAAATGTGAAATATGTCAACCTGTGTACTTAAATCATCCTAAATGTTTCAAACAGTGTTCAACATATTTCATTTTTGTCACTCATCAGTGGTGTCAAACCCCCTTTACTGGATGTAGCCGGTAAAGGTGCAATATACGCTGTTGTTTATCGTTCTTGATGGATCACTGTTATTTTAGTAGAATTCTTAAGGCCACGAATAACAGCACTGAGCTGCCCCATAACAGATTTCACTATAAATGAATAAGGTGCTATTTAACAACACGTAAGCTAACTTTTCTTGCTGCTGTTTCATTAGAATGAAGTGACATAATGTAAATATTCATGGCTAAATGTAAAGCTTTAATACATTACCTCACCTGTGGACATGGTTTCTGCCTAATGTGCGTCAGATAGATTTTTAGATTAACAGGGACAGCGAGGACAACAACTCCCATGAGCCTTAGCTGCTTCGCAATGTCATCAATTTTTGTTATTGTTTTTATTGAGAGCAGAAATTACACACTGCACCTTTTAAATAATACAGTTTTTAATGTAAAAGATTTCAGAATTGCGGGAGGGGGGGTTCTAAATAAAAGGTGAGTGAAAAAGAAAGAAAATCCATTCCGTTTTTATCTTTCGCTGCTATTTAAAAGGTTCATCCTTTCACAAGATTTGCAAAAACCTTAAAGCACACATCCATTAATTTCAACGTATCGTGCAAGCTGGGATTAAAACACACGTATTTATTCCAGCATTACTTTTCTCATAGATCCTCCTACTGAATTTAAAGATAAAGACATTCAAGTTAATCGCAAATATGTTCACTGATCTACACACACCCACACGCAGCCCCACACACACACACACACACACACACACACACACACACACACACACACAGAGGCCATGTTATATATTAGTGATGATTACTGGGTTGTAATGCTACAACAGTGAATCTTCAGTGGAGCATGAACGCTCGCCTCCGTCCACCCCCAGAGCTCCCAGTGCGCCCTGCCAGCACCGCCTGGGTTAACTCCATGTGTGTGTGTGTGTGGGAGGGCGTGCATGTGAACACTGCATGAGTCCTTATTTTTTAAACGCTACAAGATATTTCCATTTTGAAAAGGGGAAGAAAAAAAAAATCTGTAGATAAAGTTGATTTTCGAGTAGTTTGCAATGAAGCCGGTGCATTCTGTGGACACATCGGACACATTCTGTTGAAAGGTCTTAACATTTGTAAAACTCTTCATTATTCTGTATCTCAGGTCAAAAAAGTATTTTAGTGAAAATAAAAAGCAGCCTTACTAGTTAAAGCCCGCAGCAACGTACAATCTATCTAATCTGTGCTTAGCTGCTGTGAATAAAGATTCTGGTCTCTCTACTCAAAGCTGCTGGACGCATGGCAGACTAAAAAATGAAAACAAGAGTCCACACTGGCCAGTTAAAACAACACACACAACGTCTTAAAAGCTGCACCGCAAGCCTCCAATACATTCTGTGAATGATCAGTTATCGTCTGGAGCCGCTGCAGATATCAAATCGGCTTTATAGAATTAAAGAGTTTATTTCTCTCCAACGTACAGTATGAACTGGGTTTACGCATACAGAACGCAGGCTTGTAGTGTGTGTTTTAGTGTGTCGCTGAGCACATGTGTGGAAAGTGAGTGATCAGAGACATTTCCACTCCCCTGCATCCACCATATCAAGCATCCATATTTCATAGCCAGCGATGTGCCACACACACACACACACACACACACAAGCTGCCACTACGTTGCAGTGTTGTAGTGCTGTAGTGTTGGAACATGATGTCTTCAACTTCATTTCATTCTACAGCAAAAGAGTAATTGTTCAGATATGTCCACACAAGTGCACAGTGAGGTGCACACAAAAGCTGCTGCTGCTCACTGTTGCGTTCAGCAACGCAAGTTCATCATTTCAGAAAAATAGTGCAACCACAAGTATGACGTATAAGCTTATCTTAAGATCACTGGCTAAATTATCAATTAGAATATAAGCTTATCCAAAGGTTAGAAGCTTTAAGTAAAAATATTGTTTGTTTATTTTAGCTTCAGTTTATTATAACAAGTGTTTATCTTCAGTATAACTAATGTTTTATCTCATAATGTCATTTGTGGCTCCAGTCATTTTAAAACAACTGGTTTGGTTGTAAGTGCACCATGAAACTGTTGCTTCATGTGCAAAAAAGCAAAAACATACATCAACAAAATAACAAGAAAGGAGGTAAAGATACATAAAGACATTGCAAACCATTACTTTTTTTTTTTTTAATCTAAAGCATTCTTAACCATTGACTTTGTTCCCGCCTGTCAATTCAAGCATGTGTGTGGAAAGACGACTTAGTGTGTGTGTATGTGTGTTTGTGTGCCCATGCACTTATCTCTGAGTAGCCGATGTGTTTGTGTGCGCACAGTGTAAGGTTGACTGACCCCTGGAAAATGTTATTCTGGTTCTAATGTAATGAGTTATGACTGCTGCTCCTGAGGGAGGCACACCCCACCTACACACACCAACGCTGACGTCACCGGCCTCGACGCCATTCTTAAGGTTTTGTGTGTACCGACATTGTAAACAGTCCTTAATTATGCCTGCGGACAAACTGCTGTGGTAAAAAAATAAATAAATAAAAGAAAATATAAAGGGGAGGGGGGGACAACAGTTATTCATTTATCTGCAGGCTGTAAGTTGGCGGCTTGTATTTGGTCCCCAGAGAGAGGCGGCGAAGATGATAGATAGTGGAATGGATGGATGTTAAAATGAAGGAAAGAGGGAAAATGTAAAGGTTAAGGAAGACTAATAATTGTAATGATATTCATTTATGAACAGATATGAGTGAAAGAATCATAGTTCACTGAGGGACAGAGACTAAATGAAAATTTAATGATTCCAGAGGGGAATTTTGGGGGCATTGCAGCAGCACAGCGATGAGTAGATCAGACTCAGATCTGTCGTACAGGTTAGCATTAGTCCTGCTACTTACTTCATGTCAGTGTTACAAGTAAAGATGCCACATGTCACTAAAATGTAATAATTAATACGTTGATGTTCAAATTTAGTGAGACAAAACTTGTACGAGATCAGCTTTTGTAGATTCGAAATATTTACAATACACGTTTCCTTGCAGTGACTGAGGTTACTGAGCACCGCATTTAGCAGCAGTGCAGCTCCAGGGTTTGCACTGCCGGTCGGTTGATCAGTCTGTCACATTCATCCAAACTGAAATATCTCAGCAGCTCCTGAATGGTTGGTTGTTAAATGTTGTTCAGACTTGTGCTGCAGTCAATCAAAGAAAATGTTGGTTGACTGGTTGTGAAGTTACTGTTCAACTAATCAAATGGTTGTGGTGGGGGGAAAAACTGTGCTTATCCTTATTTTCCATCCATTATCTATACACCGCTATCTATACACCTCACTAGGGTCGCCGGGAAGCTGGGGCCTATCACAGCTGACTCAGGGCGAATCGCAGAGCAACACTTAGAGACAGACAACCAAGCACACTCACATTCACACCTCCGGACAATTTAGAATCACCAATTAACCTCAACATGTGTTTGGACTGTGTGGGAGGAAGCCGGGGAACCGGGGTGGACATGCAAACTCCACACAGAAAGATCCCGGTGTCCCCACCGGGACGTGAACCGGCGACCTTCTTACTGCGACCTTCTTACAATGCTACCAACTGCGCCACCTTGCAGCCCTTATCCTTATTTTCCTTAATTAATTATAAATTTATAGATAAGCAGTGGCCCTGTGATAGACTGGTGACCTGTCCAGGGTGTCTCCTGCCTTCGCCCCAAGTCAGCTGGGATAGACTCCAGCCCCCCACGACCCTAGTGAGGATGAAGCGGTGTATAGATAATGGATGGATGGATAGATAAGCATATATATTTTGTCAAACGTTAAAAATAACATTTATTAAATGGTTTTTTTGTTTGTTTGGTTTTTTTTTTACATTGATTGTGTGTATTTTTTTGGTTCTGCTTATGGACGTAATAAACTAAAGAAAACACTGACATCCAACATTTATGTTGTGAAAATAAGAGATCTGTCCTCTAACAAAGAC